TGATGATGATGATGATGATGATGATGATGATGATGATGATGATGATGATGAGTCTAAAGAGTGGAGAGACGCCCATAGCTAGGGCGATTGCTCACTTCATTCATATCATTACTGGTTGGTGGTTGTTTGAATGATACATCATGATGATGATGATGATTTTTTTGGCTTCCTTTAATGGGCCTGGCGGACTCCACGAAGAAATCTTCGAGCGAGAGCTAGGCTCTTTTTTCGGCTCCATTGTCAACATGCTTAGAGGCACCTCCACTCGTCCAAATAACTCCATTCGAGTTGCCATTGTTCCTGGACATTCAAAAAGGACTGGCGAGTAGAGGTGTCTCATTGCAGGGACATTGGTGTCGGCTACAGAGCTTCCCCATTGGTTGTGGCTGTCTTCGTTGAGAACGGTACTCCCCATCGTGAAGGTACCAATGATGGTGATGGTGATGGTGATGGTGATGGTGATGGTGATGATGATGATGATGATGATGATGATGATGATGATGATGATGATGATGATGATGTTCACCGCACTTTTTAGCAAAGTGACAAATATGTACGCACTTTGGTTTCTACAGCTAGTGTAGTCATTAATAATTTGAATTTTCCCGACGAAGATCGTAGAGGGCGAAATGTTGAACGTGTCATTAAATATCTTGGAAATACTACCAAGTCTCAACCCTTTTTTACTCTCTGCTGTGTACAATGACGATGATGATTTGTTTTTGGTATCCTTAATGGGGCTGGCGGACTCCACGGAGAAATCTTCCAGAGAGAGCGAGGCTCTTTTTTGGCTCCATTGTCAATATATACTTCGAAGCACCTCCTCACGTCCAAAGAACTCCATTCGAGTTGCCATTGTTCCTGGACAGTCAAACATATGTTTTGACATTGATGATGATGATGATGATGATGATGATGATGATGATGATGATGATGATGATGATGATGATGATGATGATGATGATGATATGGTGATGATTTTGAGAGAGAGAGAGAGAGAGAGGGACAGAGAGACAGAGACAGAAAGAGACACCGAGAAAAAGTGAGAGGTGCTCATAAGGAGATGGTGGTGCCAAAACCATGGCTGAGAACTAATTAGAAGCTGACCCTTACCACACCAGCGTCTGTCCGTGTTCCAGGTGTGGCTCTGGGCCTTGGTATCGCCTTTGGCATCATCGCCTACGCCATGGGCTACTCCTGGATCAAAGCCATCGTCTTTCTCATCGGCATTATCGTCGCTAATGTACCTGAGGGCCTTCTGGCTACTGTCACGGTGAGGGAGATATTGTATTTTATCCCCCCCCCTCTCTCTCTCTCTCTCTCTCTCTCTCTCTCTGTGTGTGTGTGTGTGTGTGTGTGTGTGTGTGTGTGTGTGTGTGTGTGTAATTGAGTGGGTGTGTGTGTAATTGAGTGTGTGTGTGAGTATGTAATTGAGTGTGTGCGTGTGTGTGCGCGCGTGCGTGTGTGTGTGCGTGTGAGTATGTAATTGAGTGTGTGCGTGTCTCTGTGTGTATGTACGCCATGGGCTACACCTGGATGAAAGCCATCGTCTTTCTCATCGGTATTACCGTCGCTAATGTACCCTAGGGCCTTCTGGCTACTGTCACTGTGAGGGAGATATTGTATTTTATTGTGTGTGTGTGTGTGTGTGTGTGTGTGTGTGTGT